GACCAGCGACCTGGTGCCGATCATCCATCACGACTACTCGATACACGTCTGCATCCACTCGAAGACGCCGACGAGCAAGAGCGACCTGACCGAGGTGCTCATCAAGGACATCACGTACGAGCAGCTGAAGCAGCTGAAGACCTACCAGATCGTCAACAACAAGATCATCGAGTATCCGGCGCACAGCAATGTCGAGATGGTGGAGCAGCGCCTCTTTCCCACCCTGCAGGATCTCTTCGAGCAGCTGACCCTCCGCGTCGGCTTCGACATCGAGATCAAGTGGCCCCAGCTGAAGTCCAACGGGCACAACGAGAGCGAGCAGACGATCGACAAGAACTTGTTCGTGGATCGCATACTGGAGGTGGTGCAGCAGCATGGCTGCGGTCGCGTCAACCTCCTCAAGAGCTTCGATGCGGATCTGTGCACAATGCTGCGCTTCAAGCAGAACATGTATCCGGTGCTCTTCCTCACCAGCAGCAAGGAGAACGCCTTCGCCGATCCGCGCACCAGCAACGTGGAGCAGAGCATTAACTTTGCCCAGGCCATGGATCTGGCTGGCATTGTGCCCAATGCGGTCTTCTTCAAAACGCAGCCCGATCTGGTGCAGCGGGCCAAGGCGCAGCTGCCGCTGCTGCTGCTCTGGGGCAGCGATCTGAAGGATCGCGACTCCATCGATCGGTTCCTAGCGCTGGGACCCACTGGCGTCATCTACGATCGCATGGACCTCTATCTGCCCCCACTCAAGTCCAGCGCCTTCGAGGATGAGCTCGATTTACCCGAATTCTTTCAGCTACAGTGTGCGCCCGCTACGATGCAGCGCCCGGCCAATGCCACCATCGAAAGTATTCTGAGCAATGTTAATGTTCTATAGATTCTATTCTAAGTACTCTCTGTACTAAAATGCCAAGCAATAAACGTACCATACAAAAGAAGACAACTGTAAATGGCCTCCATTCTCTCTATCTCTTTCTCTCTCTCCTTTACTGTGAAACGTGTTCATTTCCTCGACAGCTTCCTGATTGCGCTACGTGTCCGCGAGCATCTGTTCGCTATTCTATTCACGCTTCAATAAAAGAGCGACCAAAAAAATAATAAAACAGTGCCGCAACGACTGCGCAATGCGCGCTCAAAATTAAATTGCTGGGAAAACCAACAATTTGCCATAATGGGCGTGACTCGAGTAATGTTGATTAGCTTTGGAATAACGACTTATATTTGCGAAAACATTTGAGTCATTTTAGTTGCAGCAACTAGTTAAAATCAAGTCGGGAACAGAAATAAATTAAAATTCTTTGGCGGAATTCGAGCAGGTTTAGCTAGTATTATATCAAAAAGTTATTCATATTTTTCTTCTGGAACATCATATAAAATATTTTAGTCATAGAACATTAAGTTCGAAATTTAAATTTGTAAATTATATTTAAAATTGTTAAAAAATGATATAACAATAATGATTTAAATTTAAAATTATTATTTATAAAACAAAAAAATAATAATAATAATATTAATAAATTAATGATAATGATAAAAAGAAGTTTTTAATTTTTAAATAAGAAAAAGGATTTAATAAAAAATAAGAAATTAAAAAATAAATAAAAAAAAATAATAATATTGATAAAAAATAATATATATTTTTTAATATTTCAACAAGAAACATAAATAAATTTTCCAATATTAATAATAATATAAAAATAATATTTTATTTCAATATTAATAATAATGATAAAACAATATATTTTTTTTAAATTTAAACAAAAAGTATAAATAATTTTTTTAATATTAATAATATTAATAATAATGATTAAAAAAAATTTAATCTTAATGTTAATAATGAAGATAAAAAATAATATATATTTTTTAATATTTAAACAAGAAGCATAAAGAAATTTTTCTAATATTAATAATAATGGTGAGAATTATAAAATATAATAACTAAATATTTAAACAAGAAGCATAAAGAAATTTTCTAATATTAATAATAATGATAAAAATTATATATATTTTTTTTAATATTTAAACAATAAATATAGACATATTTTCTCAAATTCATTCTGGCATTCGCTCAACCCATATACCCGTCTCACACTGACTTGAATAAGCATAAAAAAGGATTTAAAATTTTGCTTCACTGCCAATTGCCTTTTCCTGCAGCAGCAAAAAAGTCTGAAAGAAGAATGAGAAATCCCTTTAAAAGATAACAGGCTGCAGTTAAAAGGACGTGGAATACTAAAGCTTTGTCAGCAGCTGAATAATAGTTCATAAACTGACAAATGCCAACAACGACATCAAATTCACTTTCTTAAGTAAAAGTTGCAGTCAGGGCCGGCCAGAGATGGCTCAAGAGAGCCGAGACTAGATGCGCTTCACATGACAGCTGAGCCGAGCTGAATAGTAATAAATAAATATATAATGCATTTATTTGTATATGCAATCGTATAAACAATGCAATTTATTTAGCTGAACTTGAAATTCAAATGTTTAATGAAATCATTGCCATGAAGCAGCAGCAGCAGCAGCAGCAGCAGCTCGCCCCTTGTCACATCGTGTCATGCGGAAGGGGCAAGGCAGGTGTGGTCAAGCGAAGCTGTGATTGGTTGTGATGCAATTGCAGCTGCAACAGGCAGCAGCAGCAGCGCCAGCAGCGGCAGCAGCGGCAGAGCAACAACAGCATCCGCAGTTGCATAACCATGTAGGTGAGTGTCGAGCATTTGGTTTAATATGCCAAGGCCCGCAGCTCATATTACACCAGATCTCAATTGGGAAGCACACAGGCAGACACACACACACTCACACACACACTCACACACACACACACTCACTTATAATTGGAATCCAACTGTCTATCCAATTAGATTTGATATTCATGCAAATTAATTTGCTAGCTGAATATAAGAAAATTGTGCTGGCAATTCCAGCAATCTAATTAGAATCGAGCAAATATAATATAATCTTGCAATATATTAGATATAATTACATCTGGCAATAAACTGGCTTCCAAGCACGTTCCCTTGCATCTTTTTAGATATAAATATTTATTGCTCATATATGTTACGCTACACTGAAAGAAATGAGAAGTAGAATGACATTATTGAAAAGAGTTTGGCTGTATTAACAAGAGTTATAATCATGCAAAAACGTGGGCAACAAACGTGTTTACTGAAACAGGCCCGCTTTAATTTGATAGAGTTGCTGAATAATTATTATAAATAAAGAGCAAAACTTATCAGAAATGTGCATTGATCGAGCCATAAAGATATTGAAGTATTTGGCTGCTTATCGCCTCAGCGAAGTGTCTGATTAGGGTAATCCAACTCGAAGCTATGGAGAATTGTTATTGATGGAAAATCTTGTTAAAATTCGAGATTAAATTAAATTTATTTTTGCGATAATCAAGGTGTGAAGAGGTATGATAGCAGATTAGTAGATAATGAATTGTTCAAGCAGACAAAAAACATTCATAATAGACCTAAGATTGACTATTTAAAAAATCCAATATGAAAATATGAATAAAGTGCAATAAAATTGAGGCAAAGTAGGGCCAACATTGCAAAAGAGCATAGAACTAAAAAGAAGTCTGTACACTATATAAAACCCTTCATAAAACTGGTATCAAAAATTTAATTTTATTCCTTCATTTATGCAAGAAATAATTTTATGCCAATTTGTTTACAATTATTTTACATATATAGTTTAAAAATTGCTAACCTTTAGTTATGAGGACAACATTTTAGCCAAACTCTACAGTTCGTTCTAAAATATATGTCGTCTCGTCCTCCACATTCAATTTATTGCAGTAGTTCGCCAGCTATATCTGCCGAATTTTGATAGAGCCAACATTGAATGATTCATGAAATATGAAATGAAAAGTTTTAGTTGGTGATTTAGTTTTTGTATTTTTTTTTTTTCTTATTGTGAATGAGTTTTGCACATTCAATTGACTTGCGCCAGCTGATGCACAATGCATGAGAGCCCCACGTGAATGAAATCGAATTCCGCAGGCTCTACTCTGGCAATATAACTTTTATAACAAATGCGAAACAGCTCGCCTGTACGCACAATATATGTATGTATGTATGTATATGTATGTGCATAGCTGGCAATTTCAGAGTATGCAATAAGTAAATAATGTTTGAAACAAATGTTGAAAATGTTTGGCAAACTTTTTGATTGAAAACTAGAAGCAGAGGAAGTTGCAGCAGAAGCATAAAGAAAGAGAGAGATGGAGAGAGGGAGATTGAGAGAGAGAGATATATATAGAGAGATATATATATATAGAGAGAGAGAGGGAGAGAGACAGAGAACGAAAGTGGGAGATAGAGTAACAGAGAAAGTTGCAGCAGAAGCATAAAGAGAAGACTAGTGAGAGAGAGATGGTGAGGAGGGGATAGAGAGGCGGAGATAGAAATAGAAAGAGAGAAGTGAGGCATAAAGAGATAAATAGTGAAAGAGAGAGAGAGAGAGAGAGAAGGAGAAAGGGAGATGGAGATGGAAAGATAGAGAGATAGAGAGAAAGAGAGAAGGAGTGAGGGAGAGTGAGGTAGAGAGAAAGTGAGAGAATGAGAAGGGCAGACAGAGAGAGAGAGAGAGAGAGAGAGAGAGAGAGAGAGAGAGAGAGAGAGAGAGAGAAAAAGAGAGAAATAGAAAGGAAATAACACTTTGGGTTGGGCACATGCTAACGAAATATATAAATATATATGCATATATCATACATAGAGAAACCCAAAGAATATATAAAATTATATGTATGTAAATTGGAAAATGTCTAAACTCTCACTCAAACTAAATATAATATATATACATATATATAATAAATATGGACCTGGTAATTATTTTTCCGACTGTTAATTAGACTAGGCAAACTTCTAGTCTGCTATAGGTAATATAATAATATATGTACATACATATATAATTAGAGAATAATTTATATATTGCAATAAAAGTTACATGATGTAAATGATTTCACTTATAAATAAAATTTACAATAATTACGGTTATTACAGCGCCAGCTGATGGACGCCTACATACGCCAGAAGCGCGCCTCGCCCGGAATGGTGCAGGCCAGCGATCTGCAGATGAGCCGGCCGATGTCGGGGATGCGCAGCAATGGCCGTGAGCTGCACGGGTACGATGGGCCGATGCAGTTCATTGGCTCGCCACACAATCCAGATCAGATATTGAGCAACAGCAGCACAACAGGTGTTCATCTAACCAGCAGCCTCAACTCGAGTCGCAACAACTCGAACAACTTGCGCAGCCTTAGCACGATCAATCAAGAAGGTGATGAGATAAGAAAACAACAACAACAACAACAGTAGTTAATACTCTATTTAATTGCAGACTTAATCGAGGAGATCTCGTCGCATGAGCTGGAGGATGATGAGAGCAGCCCGGTGACGGTAGTGGAGCAACCGATTCAGCCACAAAGCGCCAACTCGATGCAGTCACAGCGCCTGCGCAGTGGCCAGCAATCGTTTAATGAGCCGCTGGACGAGGACGACTATGCCAATCGCAACATATCGGGCGTGGCCGCAGTGCGTCCCGCCAACATTGCCTCGCCCTACAAGGACAGCGCCGCCGTCGAGGGCAGCAACGGCACCGCCAACGGCAGCGGCACCGGCAGCATCGGCGGCAACGGCGAATCGGAGGGCGATGTCATTGGGAACATCGATCAGTTCGTCATGCAGCCGGCGCCACAGGGTGTGCTCTACAAGTGCCGCATAACGCGCGATCGCAAGGGCATGGACCGCGGCCTGTTTCCCATTTACTATCTGCATTTGGAGCGCGACTACGGCAAGAAAATCTTTCTGCTGGGTGGTGAGTGGGCCATGGGCCAAGAGATCTGTGCTTCAGCAAAGAAGGCATCCTGCTCACATTCACTTTGTCACTTCCAGGTCGCAAGAGAAAGAAGAGCAAAACATCCAACTATATCGTGAGCTGCGATCCCACCGATCTGTCGCGCAATGCGGATGGTTTCTGCGGCAAGCTGCGCTCCAATGTGTTCGGCACATCCTTCACGGTGTTCGACAGCGGCAACAAGGAGAGCACTGAGAATCCGCGCCTCGATCTGGCCGTCATTATATATGTAAGTCTAGTCAGTCTAAAGATCGACTGCATCTTTATCAATTCCCCAATCTCCAACAGGACACCAACATTCTGGGCTTCAAGGGACCGCGCAATATGACTGTGATACTGCCGGGCATGACTGAGGACGATCAGCGTGTCAAGATCAGCTCAGCGGATCCCAAGCAGCAGGGCATACTCGATTTGTGGAAGATGAAGGTGAGTTGAGCGTAAGCAATCCAAGATTCCAGCATTCACATACTCTCTCTCTGTCTCTCTCTCTCTCTTTCTTTTCCTTCCACCTAGAACATGGATAACATTGTGGAGCTGCACAATAAGACGCCAGTGTGGAACGATGAGACCCAATCGTATGTGCTCAACTTTCACGGACGTGTCACGCAAGCCTCGGTCAAGAACTTTCAGTTGGTGCACGACTCGGATCCCGAGTATATAGTCATGCAGTTCGGACGCACATCCGAGGACGTATTCACCATGGACTATCGCTATCCCCTGTGCGCCATGCAAGCCTTTGCCATAGCTCTGAGCAGCTTTGATGGCAAAATTGCCTGCGAGTGAATCAGATTGTAAATTGGCATTGATGGAGAGAACAGTTACGCATGCCTTATTATGCTCGACTATGCATACCCTAACTCTAATTGAATGCGGTCGTCTTAGAATGTAAGAAATATAAACAGAGAAGATCAGAGAAAAGGAGAACTTTTATCAGTCATGGGCTATATACATATATAACATATGTTATTCAGCTGTATTAATACACAGAGTTATACATATATTATTTTTCACGCAATACCCTACAAAGATCAAGACAACAACTAAATACAATTTCATTAAATTTTCCATACTTTTACCTTAACTAAATGCTTCAAACTTTAAACTTTAAACCAAATTCTGTACTTAAACATTTTCTGTACAAAATATTCACTTCATATATATTTATATATGAGTATTATTATTATTTTATGATTTAAAACATATATAGTCTATAATTCTAGTCAGTCGAAGTGCGCATCAATGCAGATTTGCGGCACAGTAGGCAAAAAATCACATATTTCTATATAAATATATAGATAAGTAAATCAACATATTTATTGTAAATTAGTCTATGTAATAAAAAGTCTACTCACCGATTTTGTAAAGAAACCCAAAAAAAAGTAACACAAACTCTATCTCTATGTTCTTCACATACAAATTTCAAAATCATAAACAAATCAAAAGGAAAATGGAACAAAAATCAAACATATTTCAAAAATACTAAAAAAACGATTTTCTAATTTGAATACAACTCGAAAAGAATATATATATATGTATGTATATTCTATATATACAAAACTATTTATATTGATGTATCTAGATCAAAAGAAATTACTATTAGTGCATAAGAGAGCATTACTATTTGTGCCGAGCTCTTATTACAGTTAAGTAACAATCTAATTTAATAAACAATTATTTTTCAAAACAACTATTTATGTATATCAAATTAAACAAAATATATGAAACCAAAAATATAATAATAAAAAGAAAAAATAAATAGAAATTAACGAGAAATTAAATGTATTTAATATATATGATTAAATATTTCTATTTAGATAAATGTTAACTGAGTCTGCTTCAGCTTCAGCTGATCTATAGATGAACAGGAGAGTTTCAACAATGTTTAAAAATTTAACTTTTAAAACATCTCATTTTACTATCTATCAACATTTCGTTAGCAGAAGCTTAGACCTTTCAAACAATTCAAATTTTCATCAGCCAACTACAAATAATTTAATACATATTCAAGTATAGTTAATTTTATTTAGTGCCCATTAAGTACAATTTCATTTGTGTATAATAAATGCATTATTTCGGTAGTACGTCTTTTGATTAGAAACAATTTGGAGCTATATACAAAACAAGATCAGGTTTCAATTACGTACTTTAGTTATTTAAAAAAAAAACAGTTCGCGTTTAGATATCCGTACTCAAAACGAGATTCAATTAATATCCTTATGGAATGTACAATTTGTTTCATGCGTTCAATAAAACTCTGGAATGATCTAGATAAGAACTTAGAGAGGCTATGAACGCGTGCGAGTTTTGTGCACGTCTCGATCATTGGCCAACCTGAACTCGTCTGGGTCGTAGTCCTTGTAAGCTAACTGTCGCTCAGGCGACGTTTCAGGTAACTTGTTAATTTTCTGCAGGCGTGTGATTACAATCTGCAGATGACGCCCGATGTAATCTTCACTGGGCGCCAGTCGCTGAGCAAACTGCAGGCAAGCAGCAGCCTTGGCCATCCATTTGCGCTCCACGAAAACCACGCAGAGATTGTGCAGGCCCTGCGTATTGTGCGGATCGTGCTGTAGTATGCTGCGATAGCACTTCTCTGCCGCATCCAGATCCTTCATGTGATTGATGTAGATGTCGCCAAGCAAGATGAGGCCCTTGACATGCGTGGGATGATGGCGTATCAATTGATTGAGAAACGGAACCGCATCCAGCGGTCGCTTCGAGTCGGCCAGCAACAATGCGAGATTAAAGAGGGCGCTGCGAAAGTCCGATTTGAGGTGTATTGCGCGCTTGAAGAACTGCTCGGCTTCGTCAAAGCTGGACTCGTCCATGGCCAACATGCCCAGATTGAAGTAGACCTTCTCATTATTGGCATCCTTGGACAGAAGCTTGTAGAGGCGGGCGCGCGATAACTGACGCGCCTCCTCGCCGCCCAGCTCTTGCAGAAGTATGGCCGAATTAAGCAGCGCCTGCTCGTGCTCCGGATACAATTCGATGGCCTTGTTGAAGTACACATGCGCCTGCTGACTCTTGCCCTGCTCCAGAAACACGACGCCCAAATTGTAATATATATCAGCATTTTCACTGTCATACAGAAGCGCCTGCTCATAGACCTCCTGCGCTTGAGCCGTACGATTCAGTTTCATGAGAATGTCGCCACGATTTATATAGGCCTGCAGCAGGAGTAATGTGGTTACATTATAATCTGAGATATATTTGAGAACTCTTACCTGCACATAATCACTGCGCATGCTGATTGCCTGACGGTAGAGATGATCGGCCTCCTCCAGCCTTGTTTGATTCTTCGATATCAGATTGGCCAGATTAATGAAAACATTCAGATGATTGGGCGCAATTCGTGCATGGTAGCTAACGCCAGCCTTGGCCTGTGGGAACAGCGCCTTGGCGCGCATATACGCCTGCTCTGCCTCCGCGTAGCGCTTCAGGTTGTTGTAGGTGCGGCCGACATTGATGTGGGCGCCAATGTCATCTGTTTGTATTTGCACGGCTTGCTGAAAGTAGAGCAACGCCTCATCGTATCGTCCCTCGTTCTCGAGGGCGTGACCCACGTTGTTGTACAGTTTGGCATTGCGTTGATTCACATGCACGCCGGACATGAACAGCGAGTACTCTGTGCGCCAATCCCAGTTGCGCTGCTGTGTCTTCAGACCATGCGCCAGCAGCAGGGCAACAAGTGCCGCCTGCGCCAGACGCCCCCAGTGAGTGGCGCGAAAGCGCCGCTGGAACTGATGATAGCCATAAGCAACAAGCAGACAGTAGCCCATGGACGGCATATATAAAATGCGCTCGGCTACCACAAAGCCAACCGGAAAGAACAAATTCGAAGCGGGCAGAAACGGCAGCACCATCCAGCCTAGGCACATGAGCAGTGTGCGTGACTGGGCTAGATTGCGGGAGAAGCAGGCCTTTGCCACCAGCGCGCCCAAAGCCAGAAAGGTGCACAAGGTGGCCAAGTTTCGTGCATCACCAAATCCGTCCAGCAAGGGCACGGTGCCTGCAAGGAGCACATTGTTTAAATGACATTCCATTCAACTTATGAATCACTCACCCATTGTCCAGTCGCAGCAGAGCAGCGATGGGCATAGCAAGAGCCAGCAGTTTAGATAGATGAGGTAGGCGTAGGTCAGTTGGCGCACCGGCGTCTCGGCTGCCGAGGCGGGATTGTCGAAGCGCGTGAAGATGGGCAACTGGGAGCCCATCACATAGACGCGTCCGACCAGCAATGCGACTGTGATAACGACCAGAAAGGCCAAGCGCTTCCACAATGTGGACGACCAGCGTCTGGCGTTAGCATGGCCCGCCTTAGTCGGCGGTTGCTCCTCAAACATACGCAGCACAAAGTGCCACAGCTGCAGGGGGCGTTGCTGCTGCACCACGAACAGCTCGTAAACTGCACAAATGCCAGCGACCGTGATGCCCTGCTCTTTGCACAGCATGGAGGCCAGGAGGCAACTGCCGAAGCAAAGGCAAAGCGCCGGCCAATTCGTGCGTCGCGGCGAGCCACTCGTTGCGTGCGCATAGCTGAGAAAGGCGCCCAGGTAGCATATGGAAGAGAGCAATTCAGCGCGGCCTACGACGCCAGTAACGGCCTCGGTGTGCACCGGGTGTGTGGCGAACAGGAGCGAGGCGACAAAGGCGCATGTGTTGAGGGAGGACGACGACGAGGTCCCGGACGTGGTGGATGCAGCGGACGACGCTTCATTACTGCCAGCTGCACACTGGCGCAATATGAGGCGGCAGACACGACGCCACAGCAGGCAGACTGCAATGTGCAGCAGCAGGTTGACGAGATGATAGCCGAACGGCTCCAGTGCATGCAGCAAGTAGTTAAAGCGGAACGTCAGCACGGTTAGCGGCCTGTACGACTTGTGGGACTGCTCCTTGCGCATCGGCGTGCCCCAGAAATCGTTGAGGAACACATTACGCAGCGGCGTGCTCGGCCGCAAATCCTTGTTGTCCCTTATCGCGCTGATGTCGTCAAACACCAGACCGCACTGCGTGCTATTGTAATAGCAGACCACACAGGCCACACAAATGCAGAGGAACTCGAGCAAGTTGCGTTGCGAGCTGCTGCCAGCTCTCGCTCTCACCCGCTCCCGATTGCATGCGGCTGCAGTTGTTGCATGCTGTTGTTGCTGTTGCTGTTGCATTTGGTGCTGATGTTGGTGTTGGTTGGGGTTCGTTGACATGTTTGACTTTCGGCTCCTGCCCCCAATCGCCGTTCCCGTTACTTTCCAGTCAGTGCAGAACTTTTAGTTCATGTATCCATAATTACTTTAACCAAGCCAGATGGAATGCGTTTTCTTTTCTGCAGTTAACTTCTATGGAGGTGTGTGTACAAGTATTTCTTATCAAATATGTAGAGCTTCTACATTGCCTGAAAGAGAAAAGAAAATTATAATTAATAAATTACTTTTAATCGTTTGTCTATAGAGATATGCACTTTAAAGTATTTAGTGATTTATACTATACATTTTTAAATTACTTATTACTTATTACTTAGTCTTTACTAAATTTTAATATACATTTTTAAATTTTAACTGTTTTTAAATGCAGTTGAAGGAATTTTAAAAATGTTTTGCATAAATTATTCATTTATATGTACAAAAGAATATTTTAATTTACCTTTAAACCGTTCATTCACACAATTTAATCAATTTAATTGATAGTCCTTTAAATATTTTAAATTTATGATTACATTTGCTTTGCTTTAGGTAAAACCCTGGATTTATGAAAAAATCAATTAATGCGCAACAAAGTAACTTCGTCCCGGTTACTGTCCTCAATACCGACTGCATAGACCAGAGTCCCGAAGTTAACAAAGTTGTAAGTGCCCCAACAAAATCAACGGCAGCGGCAGCGGCAGCGACGGCAGCAGCGGCAGCAACCGGCAAAAGTTGCACGAAGAGAATATTGCACAGTCAGCAAACAGAGTCGAAGCTGGAGTATGCGACAGGAAATGGGTGTGTTTTTGTTTGTTTTATAAATATTATGAAGGAAGACATTACTGGCTGAGGCACAGGCAGAGACAGAAGCAGAAGCAGAGGCACTGGCAGTGGCAGAAGCAGAGGCACATCGGCATGCGGATGCAACATTATTGCTTCACATGCGCTGACCGAGAGACAGCAACAAAGTTGCACTCAATGTCATCGATTTTGTGTGCCGCCAGTCAAAACAAACCACCACCAAGTAAACGTTACGACCGCCCTAGAGAGCCACATAGAAAGAGAGAGCGAGCGAGAGCGAGAGCGAGAGAGTGTGATGTAGTGAGAGCAACTTTGTTGCACGACCGACATTTTTACAACAGGCCCGAAGGACGCACGTGCAGGCCAATGCTTGTTGATTTCCCGCCAATGGATGCGCAGGCGCATTCGAAATCCTTGCACTTTCGTTTTGTGGCCAGCAACAACAACAACAGCAGCAACACTCTCAGCGCCGCTCTCAACGAATTTTAGTGTTGTGTTTTTGTAAAATTACTTTGACCGAGATCCTTGCACTGCGCCGCCTTCTCGACACTGCCGTCAGCCACCCCCTGTGGTACGCACGTCCTCTCACTCATGGCGAATAATTCGACGCCATTACATTGGCGTCCGAGCGCTGGGCACACGCAAACAGACAGCTACAACAACAAAACACAACATGTACACACACACATATGAATATTCCTCTACGTTGGCCAACTTTGTTGCAAATTGCAATTATTACAATGTTGTCAGTTATTGTAACTGAATTACCGGCACATTTAAGGTTGTTTACTTCGGTGTTTACGTACCGCGTTTATTGAGTGATTTATGGAGGTAGTTGCATATCTATAAAATAGTTACATTTTAACACAAAACTCAACACAGCTTTTGGCCAGCTTCCTAGCAATATGCCATTCACGTGGGTACGCAAGCATATCGCCACCAATCGATATGCTTATAAACTATCGGTAAGATGTTATAAATTATCGAAACCTACAGCAAGACAACAACCCTGAAAATAGCCACAACGTTGTGGGTAAAAGTAGATGCCGGAAGAAAAACAAATTTTCATTAGATAAAAGCCACAGAAACCTGGTATAATAATGTCAACGGAAGACTTCTACTTGCGCTACTATGTTGGCCACAAAGGAAAGTTCGGGCACGAGTTCCTCGAGTTCGAGTTCCGGCCAGATGGAAAACTCCGCTATGCCAACAATTCCAACTATAAAAATGACACCATGATCCGCAAGGAAGCGTTTGTGCATCAGTCTGTCATGGAAGAGCTAAAACGGATCATAATCGACTCGGAGATCATGCAGGAGGACGATCTGCCTTGGCCTCCACCAGATCGCGTTGGCCGACAGGTGAGTGAAAGCCTTTGCAGCGTGCAAATGCCGCCAATATGTATTTGCATACATACATTAATACATATGCACACACACATGCATATTTATTCATGTATTAATCATATTTTGTGTTTCTTAAAGGAACTGGAAATTGTCATTGGCGACGAGCACATCTCCTTCACCACCTCAAAAACAGGCTCACTGGTGGACGTTAATCGGTCCAAGGATCCAGAAGGCTTGCGTTGCTTCTATTATTTGGTACAGGATCTAAAATGCCTGGTCTTCTCTCTCATCGGTCTCCACTTCAAAATTAAACCCATATAAAACGGTTGGCAAACCAGCAACTCATTTATATACTCTACATATAAGCTTAATTAACAGCCTCATTAAATTTTGTAATAATTTACTACAAATGAATTGCATATGTATTATTTTGTATGTACATGTATGGTAAATAAAATGAAATTTTAGAGCTGTAAGCAAATTACCTGAAACTTTATAATTGTGTGGAAAGTCCAGATAACTACTGCTATCATTTGGTAAACGCAGATTATAGTAATATACATAAATCTCTGCCAACTAGAGAAATTTATTCGAAATTTAGAGGAACAAAGCACACTCATTGCATAAACTAGTTGTAATATCATTTATTAAACAACATATTAATATATATATAAATAAAAAATATTTAGTTTTACATTTGTACAAATATTTCAATACTTCATAAATGGTATTTGTAGAGAACCCTATTCTAAAGCATCTTACAATATTTATATATATTTCTATAGATAGCGATATGCTAAACTGTTAAAATGGTGTAATTTCACATGACACCAGATTTATTTGATTTATACATAGTAGAAAAGCTCGTGATTTCATTAATAACTTATAATTCTAACTAGGCTATAAGGCAAGTCGTCACTAAGAGGGATAGAGTAAAGATAACCGATTTTTCTGACAATTTTGTGTAGCTTCACGAAGCGCTTGGAGATTCGCAAATTTGAAATGTTGCATATGCTTACTAAATTCAGTCTTTGGGGTTACTTAACAGTTATTTATAAAACTACGGCACTGCACGCGTAAAATGCACATGTAAACTAGCTAAAGAAAGCTCTTGTAGAGCCGAATCCGTAGATCTCAGAGTCATAACTGTGGCTGCTGATGCAGGGCGAGTGTGGCTGCGATATTTGTACTGGCCCGCTCCAGATAGCTGCCAGGCATGGGGCCCAGTCCTGGCATTTCCAATTGTTGATGCTGTTGGTGTTGTTGGTGTTGCTGCTGTTGCTGGAGATGTTGGAGTTGCGGTTGTTGTTGTTGTGGAGCTTTGAGTAAACTGGGCGATGCCTGCAATGGCGTATTAGAGCCCATGCCCGCACTGCTGCCGCCGGGACTGGGACCGCCCTCTTTGAGCGGACAGCCGATGGTGAGGCGCACATGTAACCCAGATTCCTTTATAAGATTCACGACATCGCCATGCGACATGCCCGCAATATCGATGCGGTTAACGGCAATAATCCTGTCGCCCACTTTCAGCTCCCCACAGCGATCAGCCGGACTGCCCGGTATTAGTTTGCCTGAGGAGAGAAAGGCAATTATAAAATCAATCCATTGCCTGAAAAACCAACAATTTGATCTTACCTATTGTGGAGCCGTAGTAATGATTCGATGAGGAGATTATGACAAAGCCAAATCCCTCGTTCTCATGCCGACTGACAATCACATCGTAGGGATAGCGTCGCAGTTGCTGCAGCGGCGCTTGCTGAAGCAGCGGAGCTCGTCGCCTACGCAATATCATTGTCACCTGACCACGCACGGCAGATTCGCCCATCAGCGAGACGACTTTATGATGCGAAGAGTTTAGCTGAGTCAATAAAGAAATGCATTTGATGAGCGCACCGCGTCATAAGCAATCGCATCAACATACCACATTAATGCCATCGATGCTGAGGATCTCATCGCCGGTGGCGATCCGATGATCATTATCGGCTGCCCCGCCCGGCACAATGTGACCCACAGTCACCTGGGAGCCCTCCTCTGTGCCACCAACGATGCGAAAGCCGAAGCCCATCGCCTGCCGCTCCAGCGTCACCTCGGTCAGCTCACACTGCTCGGCATCCTCCGAGGCATCCAGCAGGGCACCGTTACGCCAGCTGGGCGAATGCTGCAGCTGCAGCTGCTGCTGTGGCGGATCCAAGTTGGCAAAACCCACGCGCCGTCTATCGCTCAGCAGCTCATTGACGCGACGCTGCATCCGCTCGTTCTGGATGTGCGCCGCTTGCAACGGCGAGTACTGCCCGGTGGCCGATGCAACTGAAACTGGCGGCTGCTGCACGTAATAGCCCAGCTGCGACGGCTGCTGCGGTCGTTGATAGCGCTGCGCCTGGCAATCGTAGCAGTAGCAGGATTCATGATGACCCAGCGGCAGTGGCAGCGGCTGCATGCTGGGCGGCAGGCCGTAAATTGGATTATAGTTGCCTCCATCGCCCACATCCACATCGACGTTGCTCTGCAGGGTGGCCTCGGCCAGGCGCTCGCTCAGTCGACTGACCATCTTGGGATAGGGATCCATAAACGGTATATCGTCCAGCTCCTGCAGACTATTGTTCGACTTGCCCGCCGAGCCCTGCAGATGCAGTGCCTTGTTCTCCACGGATGCACCCCCATCCGCCTGCTGCAATTCGTTATTTGGCGTCAGGACGCGGGCACGTCGCGTGTCCACCAACGGTGTCTTCGGCCGCATGGGCAGCACCTCTTTGGGCTGAGTGCTGTACAGATCAGCGGTGGGCGTTTTGCTGCGAAACAGCCCGGCACCAGTGCCGCCCACAAAGTTCTTGCGCAGATTGGCCACATTGCCCAGGCCCTGGCCAGCGGCCGATTGCTCGGGCGGCGTGCGCTGTATCTTAAGAGTGGTGGGCGTGGTTTGGCTGCACTCCTTGAGCAGCTCCACCACATAGAAGTGAGGCTTGTTGCGCACATTGATGCCGTTTATCTCGAGCAGCACATCCCCCTCCAACAGCTGAGTGCAGCAGTTGCGGTCGAGGATCTTCTTCACAATCTGCCCGCAAGCGGAATCAGCGATGGTGAAGCCAAAGCCCATGGCGCCCTTCATGATGGAAAACGTGTAAATCTCCGGCTTCTTCATCAGAATGAAACCACTTCCAGCCGCTTTGCTAACGCCTTCGCCAGACAAATCCAGAAAATTGTAATTGCCATCCATGTTCAGGTCGACGTTCAGGCGACGCTGCTTCTCCGACTCGCACGGCATAACGTCCACGGCCATGGTGGTCACCACCTCAGTGTTGGGATCATTCGGATCGAAGGGCAGTGGATAGCCGCGGCACACCTCCAGCGCAGCCGTCTCACCGGGCAGTATGGACTGAAAGATGTTGACCATGTCGTGGTGCGTGTAGCCCAGCACACAAGTGTCATTCACATAGACCAGCACATCGCCCGTCTGCAGCTGCCCGTCCAGCCAGGCTGGGCCATTGGGCACCACTGTCTTGATCTGCAGAAACTCCTCCACATCGCTGCCGTTGCTGCCGTCGCTGCCAACAATGGTGAAGCCCAATCCACGCGTCGACTTCACCAGCGTTGTGTTTATCCGCTGGCCCTGCAGTTCCGCCGGATTGCGTGTGAATTTGTACGGCAGCTTGGCTGCATTGGCTGCCATTGGCATTGGCGCCGCTGGCAATGGAGTTTGCCTCGCATTCGCTGCCTCCTGCGCTGCCGTCGGCGTCTTTGAGCGTTGCTGTGGCGGCGGTGCCTGTTGCTGTTGTTGTTGTTGCTGCTGTTGCTGCTGCTTTTGCTGTTGTTGCAGTTGCAGCTGCTCCTGCTGCTGCTGGCGTTGCTCAGCCGCACGACGCTTCGCTTCAAGCACCGGATTCTCATACTGAGTGCGTCGATTCACATGATCAATAAAGTACATGCCATACATGGAGTCCTCAATCTTCTCCCAGCCATAGGGCAGCTCATCCTCGCAGCAATCCTCCAGCGATTTTTTCTGATACTTGGACAGACGCGGATCCAGCCAGTGCGAGGTGCCCGTATTGTGGCTAGAAATAAAAGGAAACATTGAATAATTGTATATAAAAGCATTCTCCTCTCATTCACTCACTCTATAAAGTACAGTTCGCCGCGCTCCGTGTAGGCCGTCTCCCATTTGGGCGGCAGTGGTCCGAGGCCATCGCCGGGATCCTCGTTATTCGCCTGATTCATGTCTGCAGCGCCGCATTCACTGCCCATGCTGCTGTCCCGGCCTTCGCCATTGTAGTACGGACCTTGCAAAAGGTTTTCTGCAAGAGGAATAACGAATTTGTTGATTAATTATAAAAGTCCTTATTTTCCTGCTCCCAACTTTTCCTGCGGCCAACTTCAATCAATGAACCATCGCCTGACCTCAAACCGGATGTGTGCAATTAGCTTTTGCTTGACTGATTTGTCACACTACGGTTCAAACGCTGGTCGGCCACGCCCACGCCCACGCCCACAGCCAAACAGGTAAATCGGTAAATCGTTAAAGAGGTGTGCATCCAGCCGAGAATAGTTTGGCCAGGCCCCTGCATGGGCCATTCCTATTGC